GCAAAATTGAATACAAAAATGTGTACACCAGGAGAATGTTGCACTAAAATGTTGATGAATTTTCATGAGTGCTTCTTGTTTTTAAATTGCAAACCGATGTGGAAATGTAGAGTACAGTGGTACCTCTGGATGTGAACGGGATCCGTTCCGGAGCCCCATTCACATCCTGAGTAGAACGCAACCTGCATCTGTGTGTAGCGATTCGCCGCTTCTGCGCATGCATGTGACGTCATTTTGAGCGTTCCGTTACTTCTGGGTCGCCGCAGAGCGTAACCTGAAAATGTTCAACCTGAAGCATATTTAACTCGAGGTATGACTGTACTGAACTTAAAGTTGGAAAAATAGAAATGGAAAGATGGAAACTGACAGATTCATCCGCACCTGCTTCGCCAACCTGGTGTCCATCCAGAAGTTTGGGACTACAACTCCTGCAAGCATCAGTCAGCATGGCTATGATGGCTGGGGGTGATGGGAATCATAGTCCAAAACATATACAGGGCAGTTTGGTGAAGGTTGCCTTTACAGTGTTTCTCACGAAGGGCCTCCTATAGGTAAAGGTAAAGGACCCCTGGACGGTTAAGTCCAGTCAAAGGCAACTATGGGGGGCAGCACTCATCTCGCCTTCAGGCCGAGGGAGCCGGCGTTTGTCCACAGACAGCTTTCCGGGTCATCTGGCCAGCAAGACTGAATCGCTTCTGGTGCAACGGGACACCGTGACGGAAACCAGAGCCCACGGAAACACCGTTTACCTTCCTGCACTAGTGTGCTTTTGAACGGCTAGGTTGGCAGGAGCTGGGACAGAGCAATGGGAGCTCACCCCGTTGCAGCTATTCGAATCACCAACCTTCCAATCGGCAAGCCCAAGAGGCTCAGTGGTTTAGACCACAGCGCCACCTGCGTCCTTCCTAGCAGCTATGCTACAGTGTAAAAATAAAGACTCCTCTAAGGGTGAAGTCATTCTTACTCTGGTCCACTTCAAAAGTACAGAGTAATCTTGCCTTTACAAGCAGTTCAGACCTTTTGCTGAGTACTGTCTACCTGGAATGTCAGTGGCTCTCCAGGAGAGACAGGTCATTCCACGACCTGGTACCCAATCCACATAACTGGAGATGCCAGGGGGGTTGGTAGGTGGAAGTACAGTGGTACCTTGGGTTAAGTACTTAATCCGTTCCGGAGGTCCGTTCTTAACCTGAAACTGTTCTTAACCTGAAGCACCACTTTAGCTAATGGGGCCTCCTGTTGCTGCTACGCCGCCGGAGCATGATTTCTGTTCTCAACCTGAAGCAAAGTTCTTAACCCGAGGTAATATTTCTGGGTTAGCGGAGTCTGTAAGCTGAAGCGTATGTAACCTGAAGTGTATATAACCTGAGGTACCACTGTATTAGCCTTCTAGGTGATCAAATGAATTGTCCGTCACTTATCAGGAAGTATGAGAAAACACAAATTTAACAGCCTACTGTACGGTCCACTCAAGTGAACAATGTAGCAGCAAGGAAGGGACATACAGAACCTGTCTTATCAGCTCCTGTGAGCAGGGATTTCCCCTCCCTCCAACATTGTTCCGCTCACACAAACAGATAATTTGCACGAGTGGCTAAACATTTGGATCGGCAGTTAAATGCTTGTAGTCAACCAACAAATAGGTAAATCCAAACATGAGAAATTTGTATTTTAATTGACTCATGTCGGCTGGCAGCTTCTGCCACAACTATTTCCTAGGGCCTTAAACGTTTTCCCTGGATGGAAGGAGCACCGGGTCCATTTCCTGGTTTGGTACCTAGTCCAGCACGACAGCACTTGTTCCATCATCACCGCAAGAGAGGCCCATAATCAACGCAGCAGCTGCACAGCCCAAATTATATTGCTCCTTGCATCATAGGCAAACAGATGGCTAATAAAGAAAAATAAAATACTGTCTCAATTTAGGTCTAATTTATAACAGTGAAAATTGCTTTCGACAGCCCAGGACTGACATGCAGCCTGATATGAAATCAGCAATTAACCAGCTGTCCTCCCCGCACCCCCAAAGTGCCACTGTCTGACAATGGCTGGCAAGGTGCAGGCAATATAGCCTGGACTCCGTGCCCCTAAAGTGCTTAACGTGGCCTATAATTGCTTTTTAGACTTTCAAGAATCCAGTTGTGATTCTGAAGTGTCTAGCCCTCAGGGGGTTGGGGGGGTGGGCAGATAAAGCTGCTAAAAGGAAATTGCAGCCCAATAAACTATTTGTGCATTTGTATCAGTGGACTGCAGTATTCCTATCAATCCAGCACCATCCACAGGAGCATCTGCCCTCCGTGTAATAAATATAAAGCTGCTGCTGTAATAATTTATATATCCATCTGGTGTTCAATGTATTTTACACCCATTACCTCAGTTACGACGACCCTGTGAGGCAGGTTAACGTTACCCTCATGTTGCAGATGGAACGAGGCCAAACTGGTAAAACAAAATGGAAGCCGCATGTTTTGCTCCCCAATCTAATTTTGCAGAGTTTAGTCGCAGTGCCTGGTCTTTTCCTGTGTCCACTCCACATTGCTGGCTGCAACTGAAGAGCAGGAGGCAGGGGAGAAATAGATCCAGCCAATGGGCCAGATCCCTCAATCCCCCACTCTTCATGGCGGCCAACTCTGACAAGTGGCCGAAACCATTGGCCTGTCAATCACCTGACATCACAACCAAGTCAGGCAGTTAACACTTGTCAGCGTTCACAGAGGATTTCTGTAACGGCTGCTTAGTTGATGTGCAGTGACAGAAGCCTCCTTTTAAGGACTGCGCTTTGAAAAACACATTAATAAGATGCGGTTAATGTTGCATCACTTTATGATATTTAATATGGTCAGGCTGATAGCAATTAACACCTATGGATATCATACACAACTTACTGTATTTTTCTGTGTATAAGAAATTAAGTTGTTTAGCTTTTTTGGAGGGTGGGGGAGGTCACTTCTGCCAATCGCTTACCCACCTGCCTGCCACTGCCGATCGCTTGCCACGGCCACTGCCAATCGCACACCTTGCCACAGCCGCCAATTGTCTGCTATCTCACTGCCACCAACAACCCACCCACCTACTTGCCGCAGCTGCCAATCGCCTGCCCGCCTTGCCACAGCTGCCAATTGCCTGCCCAATTGCCACAGCCAATCGGCAGCAGGCCTTGCCGCAGCCACCAATCACCCGCCCAATCACCGCTGCCAATCTCCTGCTTGCTGCTGCCATTAATTGCACGTCTCCCCTCTGCATTCACTATCTGTGTATAAGACAACACCCAATTTTTGCCTAATATTTTTTAGCAAAAAGCATCGTCTTATGTACGGAAAAATATGTTATGAATATGATTTTCTACGGTGATATGAATTACAGTTTGTTGTTCTTCCTGTGTCCCTGAGGAAAGTTTTGAATGAAACACATTGAGTAATTTACCATTTTATTAAAATTCCCTACATTTTCCAGCATCCCTTTGATACTTTTTCTCCCCTTTCCCCACCTTATTTCCCCCCCCTTAACAGCTAAGTTCAACCTGAGGGATATGGTGGCTCCTTGTTTATGGAATTCTCTTTGTAGGGATGCTTGTCTGGTGCCATTACTATCTGTAGGTGCCAGGCAAAAAATGGTCTTATTTACCCTAGTCTTTGGATCTTAATCTTCTCCTTATCATTTACTGTGGTGGAGCTGGACCTGATTTTTAAAAATATATTTTAGGTTGTTTTACACTTATTTTTAATGTTCATTTTTGTAAGGTGCTCTGAGTTTCCTATTTTAAAAAGCAACTAATAAATGTAATATAATAATAATAATAATAATAATAATAATAATAATAATAGTGGTTCTTTGCCTTACACAGCCTAGTGAATTCATGTATAGAACGAGACCTGAAGCCAGGGATTCCTAAATTGCAGGTCACCTGCCAAACGCTCTCCACTTGGCTCCTCAGAATAACCGAAGAACCTATATAAAAGAACACCCAATATATTCCAATGTTCTTTTTATCGCTTTACAACACTTGAGATGGAGTCCATCCATCAAGAGCTGGGCTGCCCCCTTATAGTGGGGGATTCTTCCCAATCTGGCTCCAGCCCATCTTGACACAATAGAAGCACACGTTAAACACAGCCATGTTGAGGTTTATAGGCTGTTAATAAAATGCAGCCCAGGTTTTACTGCCTAGGTTTCCATTCTCTTCTACAACCCCCACTGGGCAGCTAAATCTAGCTCCTTTTCAAAGTCACCCTTCTCTCTAGGATTCCTAGATTCTATGGCACTTCTTCCTAGTGCCCAAAGATAAAAGAAGAAAAAACAGGAGGGAATGTAGAGCACACCTACAACAAGCCAGCTTTCATCAGGTGCTCTAAAATAGCACATTGTAATTCCCTGCTTCCCAAGGGGGGAAAAAATATTGATTCCCAATTTGGGGGAAGGGCTGCACTTCAGTGGTAGAGCGCAGGCTTTGCATACACAAGTTCCCAGGTTTAATCCCCAGGTAGGGACGCGGGTGGCGCTGTGGGTTAAACCACAGAGCCTAGGACTTGCCGATCAGAAGGTTGGCAGTTCGAATCCCTGCGACGGGGTGAGCTCCCGTTGTTTGGTCCCAGCTCCTGCCCACCTAGCAGTTCAAAAGCATGTCAAAGTGCAAGTAGATAAATAGGTACTGCTCCAGCGGGAAGGTAAACGATGTTTTCATGCGCTGCTCTGGTTCGCCAGAAGCGGCTTAGTCATGCTGGCCACATGACCCAGAAGCTGTACGCCGGCTCCCTCGGCCAATAAAGCGAGATGAGCGCCGCAACCCCAGAGTCGGCCACGACTGGACCTAAAGGTCAGGGGTCCCTTTACCTTTACCTAGGGCTGGGAAAGATCCTTGTGGAAGACTTTGGAGAGCTACTGCCAGTCAGTGTAGTGCGTTAGATGCCCCAATCTGACTTGGGATAGAGCAGCTTTCTGCGTGCATTGCAAGTAGTAGCACTGCTGAAAAACTGTGCATACCTCAAGCTTTAAAATAAAGATTCTGTATCAAAGCAATCCAAATTTTGCAAACTAAGAAACTGTGTAGTTTCTTAAAATCTTGGGGATGGGGGTGAATCTGGAAAAGGTGATAAAACTACACAGTTTCTTAGTTTGCAAAATTTGGATTGCTTTGATACAGATGTGTTCTGCTTTGTTAGTAACACAAGCCTCTGCAGGACACACACTTCTTGTTCCCAGCCACTGCAGAACGTACTCACCCAGCCTTTATGAATTCTCACACACTTTCAAGCATGTCTTTGTGGTCACTAGGGATAGAAAAGTTCTTCTCAAAATAAAGAAAGTAGCAGGGGCAGTCTTTGGGTCTTTCAAATTTCATCTGTGCCCTGTACAAGGCCAAAATTCAGCGCACACACACCCCAACCTCCCACCTTCCATTCTGCTCAATTCACTACAGTATATACTTTTTGTTTTATAAATAAATAAAGCAAATAAGCTTGCAGGAAGCCTTTTGTTTCACAAACAGCCACTTCTTCCTTAAATTCTCCACCTTGCCACATGCAAGCCAGGGACACATAGAATCGTAGAGTTGGAAAGGACTGCAAGGATCACCTAGTCCAGTGGTGGCCAAACTTGGCCCTCCAGCTTTTTTGGGACTACAACTCCCATCAACCTTAGCTAACAGGACCAGTGGTCAGGGATGATGGGAATTGTAGTCCTAAAACAGCTGGAGGACTAAGTTTGGCCATCACTGATCTAGTCTAACCCCCTGCAATGCAGGGATCTTTTGTCTTACGTGAGGCTCAAACCCACAACCCTGCGGATTAAGAGTCTCATGCTCTACCAACGCGGCTACACCTGCTGTGATGGAACTGATAGTATAACACTTAATTATGTTTGGCTATTTCAATTCTGGTCAAGAGCCCAGACATACAGCAAAACCATGGTTTAGCTAGCCCTAGAGAGGATAGAGAAGGATTCCAGCAGGAGGTGGAGAACTGCCTTAACCATGGTTTGCCGGTCGCAGACATTAACACTTTGCCTCCATCACCACAAATAGCTTTTGGCAAACCACCCTCAAGCCATGGTTTCACAGCCTAGTTTTCAGCCAACCTTTAGCAACAGAGGAAAACCAACCAGGGTTATACAGGATTTCTGTAAAACAGTCCTTAATCTGTGTAGAAAAATCACCCCACCTTCTGCAGCAGAACTCAGTGTCCTAGTACCGAACTACAAAGAAAGAAAAGGAAGCTCAGTCTCCCATCAATTATCCTGACGCACCTCAACCCTTGCACCCTCCTGATCTTCTGCCCTCCAGCTTTCCCTTCAGTTGATATAAGAAGACTGACAAATTAGTTTGGTTTGGACAAGATAACAAAAGATGGCTTTGTACTCCAAGAAAAATACTTCACAGGCTGCTCTGAAAAGACAAACAGAGAACAGGAATGAAAGCTACCAGAAGAATCTTGGTAGGATCCAAAAACATCTTTCTCTCGGTGCAAGAAGAAAAGGTGGGGAAGTGGGAGAGGGGAACCCCCAAGACGGAGATGTAGCAAAACAAGAGGAAATGGTCAAAAACGGGAGCAAAATGTTCAGCAACAAATGTTATCTGATGTGGTTCCAATTAGAAGTGGACCTCTGGTTCAAAGGCTGGCTGGACCAAAGCACTAATTGACATCTGTGCTTCTAAGAAACATTCTAGTAACCTTCAAAAACACGTTGTGTTCTTAGTCCCTTGGACAATGTCTAGCAAGAGAGCAGGGCAGGAAAACAGGGAGCTTCCAAAGCAGAGGTGAAGAAACTTTTTTCGCCCGAGGGTCACATTCTCTTCTGGACCACCTTCCGGAGGATACATCCACTGGACAACCTAATCCAGAATCAGCCACATGGTATCCTCCAGATGTTGGAGGACTCCCATCAGTCTCACCCAGAATGGTTGAGGGATGATGGTTAGGGATGATGGAGGGCAACACATCTGGAGGTCAACACGTTGGCTATCCCTGACCTAATCTCATGGGGCAGATACGTAGTTCCACATACAGGCTACTTTGGTGATAGTGGTGATGTAAGGTTAATTTGCATCCTACTTATTTATGACTGTATGCAAATCTGCATGTCTTGTCTCTAATTTGATAGTTTATAAGCTTCTCTACAATCATGAGCACCTCAAAAGATCATCCCAAAAAGACTTTAGTTTTGAAGTAGATTAAAGCAGTTGCATGAGAAGAAAATGTAGACATTTACACTTGCCTAGAGAAAAACGGGTGGTGCCGTGGTCTAAACCACAGAGCCTAGGGCTTGCCGATCAGAAGGTCAGCGGTTCAAATCCCCGCGATGGGGTGAGCTCCCGTTGCTCGGTCCCTGCTCCTGCCCACCTAGCAGTTCGAAAGCACGTCAAAGTGCAAGTAGATCAATAGAGAATGTATTGTATCCTTTTTTGTAGCAAACAGAGAAGGTTGCAGTGTTTGTGTGGTTCTTGGCAGTTTGCATTTCTTAGTACAGAAAGTATTGCTCTGATGTGTAGAGATCTTTCCTATTCTACTTAATTCAAGAGTGTTCTAGGTGGTTTCTTTCTACGTGAAAGAAACAGGCAGAAGGCTTCTAATGTTTAGGTTGTTCCTTCTGGGAAGCTGAGTACATCTGGTTTAAGCTGGTTCTGCTATCCTTTCTGTCAAGGTCATGCTGACTATAATAGGCCAGAAAGAGTCTGATTTCTCACTTTCTCTTTCTATCTCTTTGTTCTCGTGCTCAATTCTGTGTGCTATAGTGTTAAGGTTTAGTCTTATTATAAGTTCTTGTAAGTTTAGGTTACGTCTGCTGCAACTGGATTTCTTATGGACTGTGCCAATCCTGAACGTATTGGATTTGTGACCATTTATGCTCATTTGCCTTCAGTTCTCACAACACTTTCTTCCAGTTTGCAAATGGCCGGTAGCCCCTGCAGTGTAGTCTGACCCTTACACATAACTGTAACATGGGCAGGTGCGGAGAAGACACACCTGTCCACACAAACATCCAATGGGGAGCTGGAAGCTCCAACATTTGCTCCTCCAATATGAGAGCTGACACTATGGAACTTTATTTTACCTGCCCCAGATCAGCCCTGCCAATGGACCAAGTTTTCTGTATGAACCAAAACTTTATCTGTGTCGTAGTCCTCTGTCCCTCCTTCTCAGTGCATCCAAAACAAGGCAAACCGTAGCCAACCACCATGGGACCCAACAATCCACCACCAAACCAATTCTCGGTGGAACTGTTTGGCCCTCCATGTGTTCTGGTGTTATTTGCAGTGACCTCATTGGATTGCAAAGGAAAGAATGAGGCTGGGTGTGTGTGAGAGAATGGACATTGTATAACTTTTACTGGCATGGTTTTCCCACTGCTCCAAGGAAGCATGGATCCTTATCAAGGGCAATAAAAGCAAAACGAAACATGACTGAAATGTAGCATAGTTCAGGGATATTTATAGCTTTTGCTGGCAGCCACTACAGCTGAACTGGAGCAAGGGAATTGTAAAGGAGCCTTTTATGTCAGGTTTTCCCCCACCTCTCCCTCAAGGATGCCCGTTCCAATGTTTTCTTCATCTTGCTCAGAAGGCTAAAGGGACTTTCCAAGTACATATGCCTTTTGACAAATGGACCAAGGTTGTGTCATTCCTCTAAGCACTTAGAGCGAGCAAGCATAATTCCTATGAAATTATGGAATAAACCATGGAACGTGATCCCACAGGAGGCAGTGATCAGAGGATTAGGCACATTCATGGAGGATAAAGCCATCAATGGCTGATAGCCATTGATGGCTATGTTCTGCCTCCATGGCCAGAGGCAGCAATGCTCCTGAATACCAGTTGCTGGAAACTGCAGGTGAAGAGAGTGCTTTTGTTCTTCAATCCTGCTGGCTAGTTTCCCATTGGGGCATGTGGTTGGCCACTGTGAGAACATGATGCTGGACTAGATGGGCCATTGGTCTGGTGCACCAGTCTCTTCTTACATTCTTAAATTAGAAGAACGCTATGGGTGCCTTGGGACGCGGGTAGCGCTGTGGGTTAAACCACAGAGCCTAGGGCTTGCCGATCAGAAGCTCGGCGGTTCAAATCCCCGCGACGGGGTGAGCTCCCGTTGCTCGGTCCCAGCTCCTGCCAACCTAGCAGTTCGAAAGCACGTCAAAGTGCAAGTAGATAAATACGTACCTCTCCGGCGGGAAGGTAAACGGCGTTTCTGTGCGCTGCTCTGGTTCGCCAGAAGCGGCTTAGTCATGCTGGCCACATGACCCGGAAGCTGTACACCTGCTCCCTCGGCCAGTAAAGCGAGATGAGCACTGCAACCCCAGAGAAGGCCACGACTGGACCTAATGGTCAGGGGTCCCTTTACCTTTACCTTATGGATGCCTTTGGGGTCTTGCAATAGATTTTTTTTCAGAAAAATACCTTCCCCTATCTTGTGCATGTATCACACCCAAAAAGACACACGGTGCTGGAAAGAAGCTAAGCTCAGAATTCATATCCTGTGTTTAAATGCCGTTGCGTCTGGGAAGAGAGAATTGCATCAGGGCTCAATAATGTGATCTAAGCATCACAGATTTGGGACTTAATCTAGAATAGGCATGGGGAACTTTTGGCCCTCCAGATGTTGCTCAACTACAACTCTCATCATTTCTGGTCATTGGGCATGCCTGCTGGGGCTGATAGGAGTTGCAGGACCACAACATTTGAAGGACAAAAAGGTTCCTCACACTTGGCTTGGAACATAGTTGTTCCTACCTTCACGGTACCATTTCTCCATTATTTGTTAAATAGACCCCCTGTGAGTTTCAGAAGGCTCTAAGGTGTCTACTGTGTGCACAAAGGCCTTGTTCCATGAGAACCTCAATCAAAGCTTGAGGGGGGAAATGGGAAGCCCTCGGGTAATTTAATTATAAATGGACAAGTTTGAAGCTGAGCTCTAAGCAAAACTATAGGACCTTAAATAGGATAACGGTTAGGATACTGGATTCCTCAAGCTGACCTGTTTGTTGAGTATTTGGTCTGTTTTGCTTGCCCAAAGTTTACAGTGGTCAGATTATGCCCAGTCTTTCCTGATCATTTCTCCTGATTTATTTGCAGGGATCTTCTATGACAACAAGCATTCAACCCCCCTTGTTTGTGTTGTGTGTATGCTTCTTCCCATTAAGTCAATTGTTCACCC